ATTTACATATTTGAACTCAGCTTATCACGTGGATTATTTTGACATCAAAAATGGAAACATTTTTAAGCATTTGTTAAATTCATAAAATTTGTAAGAACTTTCCAGAAATGCTATACCTTAAATTTACACATATAACAGAGATAGATTCAAAAAACGCTAACACGTCCAAGCTTATAAAGATAAGCAGATAAAAGGTATAAGCAAGATAGGCACAACATTTGCCTACAAGTGGAAATTCGCCCTGTTTGGGCAACGATATTAGAGAAATGGTGCACCAAAAGATGGATATATTTTACCATTTGATTGATTGGGTACTATTATGGGTTCTAAATTGCTTTGTCACTAAGAAAAACTTATTATTTGGATGGTGTGATGCAACAAAGTTGATGGTACGCGTTATTTCATGCAATGGAATTTTTTTTTCAAAAAAATCTGCTTATCTTTATAAGCTTGGACGTGTCAGCGTTTTTTGAATCTATTTCTTTTATATGTGTAAATTTAATACAATTTCAGTACAGCATTTCCAGAAAATTTTGTAAATCAAATTTTATCTCGTGAATTGAACAAATGCTCACAAATTTTTCCATTTTTGAGGTCAAAATAATCGTGATGATGAGCTGTGTTCAAATATGTAAATGATAATCCATTTCGCTCTCATTTTTACCTTCTCGAAATCTGCAATCCTCCAGGTTGCCAATGGGGATAATTAGCGATGTCTCCTTCGCTAATTATAGCTCTAGGTACTTTTCAAAGCAACTTCCTACAACGTAGTTGAATCAAAAAAATATTAGAGTTTTTAGATAGAGCTTTCAATTGCGAATCTATTGATGTAAAAGTCTGTGAGTTAGCTATTAAAACACTTACGTTACAAAGAAAACACGAAAAACATGCGAATTCGCGTGTTTTTCGTGTTCTGTCGAAGAATTAGCGCACTTACTGTACTTATTGTTATTATTATCGTGATACTTATCTTTTACTTACTTTTGGGCATATTCGCAAAAAAGCATCCTTATCATAAAGGTTTTGTCTCGCTGCCACAAAGTGTTTGCAAAACCAATAGACGGGACATTTGTTAGCAGTTGAAGAGCCAGATCTAACCAATATCGCAATTTTTTTCCCAGCCACACTCTAACTAATTCAAAATGATTCAAGAAAGCTAGCTATAGATTGTGTAGTTCGATGACCTGGAAACTCATCTTTATGGCAAGTCAGCAAATAACATTATAAAAATGAAATTTGGCTTGG